CAGTTTTGGAGGCAAAAGGCTGCTTATTTGGCTTTGCGACATCTGAGTTCTTTTGTTTTTGACTTTTTTGTGAAACTGACCTTTCAAAGAAAGTTCCAGAACTGTCTGGCGCTCTCTGAAAACCCTAAGGGGTTGTAAACATGCCCGCCGGCGGTAGCGAATCGTTCAATGGATTGAATTGCGACGAATTCTTTTGTTTTCGACTTTTTTTGGAGTTGACCTTTCAAAAAAAGTTCCAGAACTGTCTGATGCTCTCTGAACCCTAAGGGGTTGTAAATATGCCCGCCGGCGGTAGTGAATCGTTCAATGGATTGAACTGCGACGAATTCTTTTGTTTTCGACTTTTTTGTGAAATTGACCTTTCAAAGAAAGTTCCAGAACTGTCTGGTGTTCTCTGGGCCTTAAGGGGTTGTAAACATGCTCGCCGGCAGTGACGATGTCACTGGTGACGTCATCGCCGGACATAGCCACATGTTTACACTTGATGGGGGGCCTGCGAATTATTATAGTAGACAAGACCAAAGTGCCGCTACGCGGCACTTTGGTCTTGTAAGTTAATAAAATATAAAGTTAAGCACTGGGAGTGTTCGTGGCACTTTTTTAGTTGTGTAGACAATGCCGCTTCGCGTACTGTGCTTATAACCCGTTGAATAATGTTTGCACTATATTGTCCCTTCGTTACTCAGAACAGTCTCAGATTGCCCCTTCTCAAGGGGCAATCTCCGCTAACGCTTTTTTTTTTCAGAAAAATTAGAGGCTCTGAAATTATTATTGCTAAGCTAAGATTTGTTAGTCGTATCGTATCGCACACCTTCGAAGATATCGCCACTCCATAGTTTTTTCCTATTGCGCATTCAAAATGACTCTTTCCAAGCCTTGTCTAAAGTTGTACGCAAGGCATAGGTGCGATGGGGTGATCGGGGTCCCTCGAAAGTGAAGGGTGTCCCAGCTCATTTTGACCCCCAAAAGTGAAGGGTGTCTGGAAAGTGCCGGCGTCGGCCGGGGGGGGGGGGTTGAAAAAATGGTGAAAATTATAAAATTATCCAGTTTGAATGGTCAAATTCCACAAATTGGATTTGTATGAAATATAATTAGTGAAATGTTTATAAGTACTTTATTTTAAATTCATATAAATATTATTTCATTTTCATACACCATTTTTCGGTGAGAAGATGCATGTTTAGGTGGGTGGAACGTGTGATGTGTAAATGTGATTTCGACCGAAAATTACAATGGACAATGGCAGATACTCGAGTCTTGGAAGGTGCTGAATGAAGTTTTACCTGGAACGTACAAATGTGGATAATGTTAATAAGAGACTCCGTGATGATTAGGAATTATCGTTGAAAATAAATCCGTAAGTCGGTAGTATCTATGGAGTACAATAAAAAAATTTGTTGCTCAATTGTGTCCACTTGAAGCAGAATAAACATACACAGTGTAGCACAGTGATAAGACTAGTATAACTGATGTCATGAGAAATTCCTAGGGCAGTAAAGTAGAAGCTACGATGTTGACGATAATTGAGCAAGGTCACTTTTTCTAACTTGTGTAACTTGCAGTAGATCACTCTCCAGTTTAACTCTTGTATAAATGGGCTAAAGCCGATTTTGATCTAGATTTGAATTCTGGCCTCTAAAAGCTATACAACGATATATAATTTGTGAGGTGCAATATCTTTGCCAGGTGAGATAGTTTCCAGAGGTCCGACGGTACCCCCCCCCCCCTCCACGTCAGAGCCCCATATCTCCACGGTGGGGGCATTTCATGATTTAATTTTTTTGCATCTTCAAGAGGGAGGTCCATTTAATATTACCTATACCCTCGCAAAGAGATTCCACGGGAGCGACTGACTTAAATTCCAAATTTACCTGCGTTTTTCAAACGCCTTTTATTCCTTGCTGTAACTCTCCTTCAGTATATCCGATCTTTCTGCGAGGGTGTAGGTAAGACTCAGTAAACCTCCCTCTCTAAGACGCAAAAAAAAAACTAAAGCAAGAAATGCCCCCGTCGCCGAGATATGAAGCTGCAAAAAAACCCATTAAAAATCGATTTTTTTAATATAACTCTTATATAAGTAATTAATTCAAAACGGGAATAGTGTAGGTAGATTCGTCTCCTCAAGAGCTTTCGAATGATATATATAACATGTGGGGGTTTACTGCTTCCGGGTTGCGGGAAGGGGGGGGTGATCGGTCTCAGTTCAGGGCGATCACCTGGCGGCGCCTCTCCAATGCATTAAGGTGGCGGGGGGTGATCACCCTGAACTGAGGCCGATCACCCCCCCCCTCGCAGAGCTTAAAAAAATAGGACCCCCACATGCTATATATCATTCGAGAGCTCTTGATGAGTACTATCTACCTTCAGAAGAAAAACTTTGACCACCATGGTTTGTATTCTCGCACCCACTCTTTTTGCAATCAGTGAAGCTCTGCGGCAGCACTCAAAATGTGTGGACTATTGGCGAAAACTGCCAAAATATTTAAAACAAAAGTTTGCATCAAAACGTGGCTTTCGCTCGTCCAGACAGAGCTAAGTACACAGCATCTGTAATGATATTGCTGTTGGAGGCTCTTTTTGGAGTTTTAAGAGGGAAGTAATCTTCGCGATGACCACCTCTCCAAAATTTCATTCTCTCTTAGCAAAAGTCATATCGCATACAACTTTTCGGTATTTAGATTAAAACTCAAAGCCATTTCAAACAAAATGCAGATGAAAAGGATCATGTGCAAAAAAGTTGTATTTGTCCATAACGCTGGTTTCTTGATCAATGTTCCTGGTCGTCTCTCTCAACAAAATAGGAAATCATCCTCTACTAATGTCGGATGTCAGCTTACATTTCATCCCAGCTGCTAGGCAGTCAGCTTTTCATTATTATTGACATTAGAGCCTTAGCTGAACCACTGCATTTGAATAACCGTAAGAATTGAGGCTGGTTCTGTGCAAAATGATAAATCAACTTACTTTTTAGACGACTACTACATTTTCGAAAGAAGATTTGTAATTTCAAAATGCGAATTTCTTGATCAAAAACAACTTATACTCTATGCACGAACGACGTAAAATTAGCTAAGAACCGATCACTGCAGATTTTCGGATGTAAACTGTTCAACAGCGCAGTATCACATAAGAATGGTAATGGATTTTTGTAAAAATTCAATGAACCGAGCAGATCGGCATAAAAGTCTTGGGTGACATTTGAGGAATGCCTCGTATAGATGAAGATAAGCTTAAAATGGCCTTTCAAAAAGCAGTGGTGGCAGTGGTTTTGTCCAACAACGCCTATTGATATGGAAGCAATGTTTGAAGTGAGATCAGAACAGCCGATATTTCAAAAAAACAACGAAGCCATTTTAAATTCTGGCAGATGCAAAAAACTGTCAGGCAAAGTTTGCTCATTTGGTTTTGCGACTCTCTTGTTTTGATTCTTTGTGAGCTTTCGACCGTTCCGGTGCTCATAAACCCAAAACGGTAAACATGTGGCACCCTTTGTGGTGACGTCATCGCTGTACATAGCCACATGTTTACACTTGATGGGGGGCCCTGCAAATTATTATAGTAGATGATGATAACATTGAAGATGACGAATCCAACTAATGTCTCATGGTGTTAACTCCAGGAACCACACTTTCTGTGCTTCCTATCTCTATCTGCTCTGCATGCAAACTCGGCAGTAGAATGATTCTGTTGTGAACTTTGTCTCATGACAAGTTTTGAAGCAAAGTCGCCCTCGTAAAGGTCATAGGGATGTAAGGACCACTGGTCGATGAGCAGCTGGGGAAAAGTTAAAGTTCCGCAATCCCCTAAAAAGATTGAACTGTTTCATTTCTCGAAGCACTTCAGTGCTTCAGTACTTGCGCGAGCAGGAACGAGTGTGAAGAGAGAATCTTCATTCAGAACTGGGATGTGAAAGTGTTGCATCAAAGTCATCAAAGTTCTCAAAATAATCAGCATGGTTGACATCCTTATAAAATTGAATTTTGATCCTACAAGGAAGGATCTCCTACTGAATCCTTGGGTGTAATTTGCATTAATCAGCTGGTGCAAATAATCGGTCAAATTAATGATATCATTTTCAAGTCCAATCAAATTTTCTAGCAACATCAAAACTGCGAAGAATCTTCCAATACAAACTCAATGCTGAGTACAACCCAGTACTGCTTGGAGAGCTCATAAATTGTGCAGAAAAATGCCACCATAATGAGATGATATAATTCATTCTCGTAGATGAGATATTTTCATGCGATGTGGGCAAGGAACTAATAGATGGAGGCTACAAGAAAGAAGTTGTTTCTCGCCGGCATGGAATTTCTTGAAGTCAGAATTACTTTAACAAACTTTGATATAAAGTGGACCAGTAATTAAAGGGGCTAGACTGCATTGGCGCGCTTTGGGACCGCACCGTTTCCCGCTATTTGCAGATTTTGAATTGCGCTAACGATTCTTTATATATTAGATCATTTTGAATGGATCTTATGATCTCAGAAAAGGGAAAAATAGAATAAAATGTTCAAATATATGAGGAGCATCCAAGGATAATTAAGATAAGATAAGATAATCTATTTAGATAAGATAATATGATTAGATTAAGATAAGATATAAGATATTCTTCAGAAGTAAAGATAAAATCTGAAAGAACCTCTAAATCTTTGCCAAATTTTCCTTGGTACCTAGGCGATTGCGAAAATTATTTGCTGTCTGTTTCCGCGTGAGAGAATGAAACACATAGTCAAGAAAATACTGTATATTTTTAGAATAGTAAAAAAAATGGTAAACGTGACGTGTAAAAAAACGTGAGAGTGAATGGTAGTTAAAGAAGTTTGTAAAGCTTGAAGATGGCATTGTGCTGAAACCAGAAGAATCTTAAGCCCTTCCTAAGCTCTGAATTTGTCTCACTCAGGGTTCAAGACACATCAAGACTTGGAAAGCCATAAAGATGATTACATTTTTTGCATTCTTCAGGTAAAATTGGCGTCCTGTTCTGCTCCGCAAACCTCTAATAGCTTTCGAAACAAGATTTATTGTTTCGTGGAAGTGTATTAGCACACTTCTCAGCATTGTGGATACGCCTTCAGAATAGATTTAAGATTTGTCGACGGTGCCAACGCAAAATCGATGTCGTCGCGAGCCACCAAAGCAATAATTTTTTTGTGAGTCCCTGAAAGAAATATATTAGTAAACGAATAAAGCCAAACTTCAACTTCAATGAAAATGATGACAAATAATTTGTCTATAACAAAGACACACCATCATCACCATCTGGTACATCCGTGAAAGCATCTCGTGGGTTGGTAAAGGTGGTGTATCGGAAGAGTACCACGATTTTATCTGTTTTAGCTTCTCCTGGGTCGCGCACTATCTGAAAAATAGAGCAGGTTTGTGACAAATTTCTGTTAACAAAAAGAAAGCTGTAGTACAGCACAGCCCATGTCAACCTTGTGCTCCCTTTTCCACCAGCCCAACCGCACCTTAGAGCCTGGAGCCGCGTGCGGCGCGTATAACTTATGTATTTGAAATTCGATTCATCGATTAGGATCGCCGCGCTAGACTCTTGCGTTGCGGATGCGTAGCTGTTACGGAAAAGGAGCACTTGATTGACATCGATTGTAGCTCCTGTGTCAATAGCTTTGAACAAAACTGGAGGCAACAAGATGACGAGAGCATGACGGAAAACTTTCTGATCAAAATTTGTGGCCGTTTAATTATTGAAAAATTTTTGTGACCGTTTAATTTTGAAAATTTTCGGAACATACTAGTTCCTCTGTTTTACCAACAAAATCGAGAACATTTAGTGAATTAATGAGTTTTTTATTCGGCAGAATATTCAACCTACTTGCAATCTTTGTGATGCTCCCGGTTCCAACATGCAGTATACTGGTGAAACTCGGAAGATCCCGTTATTACTGCATTTGATTTTTATTGCCATCCTGAAACACTGTGAAACTGATAGTTTTAGATGTTCTACCGTATTTTCTTATTGTTAGCTCACAACAGTACCTTTGACTGCTGCCATTGACCATCATGTGACGAGATGCACCACCTTTTGCAGCGGAGAAGTAACAGACCCGAGGTGTTAGGAATAATGAATGGTCTTCTGCATCGTACATCATTGCAATATTCTAAATAAATTCCAATTAAAGTAAATACGAAGAACAAAGCATTAAATTATTCCGAAAGCTGAAAACCAAGCCGCATACAAATAGCCATGAGTAATACTTCATAAGTACATAACCAGGACGAATCTTCCTTGCTCAAGTTGAAGTGTACTCTATTTGTCTTCAAATAGTTTACGATGTTGTCATGACGTATACTTGTCTTTCAAGTTTTACTTGTTTCGCTCAGTTATGAGTACCCATGGGAGCAGATTGCAACTTGTTTTGAACTGGTCAAGCTCGACAAGCGACTGTCACCAAAGTACACGTTTTTTTGGTGCTGAATCTTGTTAGTTGAGTCGCAGAAGCATATCATTGAGCGAAGGAAGCTTATTATATGCTTTTTTACACTTAGTCTTGAAGAAGAATACTCAAAAGTGATGAGTTAATGTTGAAGTATGAGAGATAAATCGGTATTTCGGAGCCAGGGAAATGCCTAAACATCCTCACCAAATTTTGAAATCCGATGATTTGAAGCTAATTAACGTTTTTGAGATCCCTTGAAGCATTGCGAAATTCATTGTGTGCCTTTTCTTCAGTCAAATACCAGTACATTGATGTGAGGAGGACAAAATCATTAGAAACGCAAAAAGAAAGGATTTCATCTCAAGCTCAGAGCACGGTTGGGCTTGTGGGAGCGCAAAATGGAAAATTCTATTAGATCTGTGAAAAGATTGGTTTTATACATGCGGAAACAATGCAGCCGAGCAACGGCGGCCGGAAATGTTAGAAAAATTTAATGCAGATAGCATAAAGCTCTAAATCAGAAGCGTAGTCATTAATTAGATGCTCAGAACGGATGCTGGCAATATGTTAGCCATATCCGATATCTTCGTTCTCACACTCTCCCCTACCATGTTTTTGTCGGCAAATTTTCCACTAGCCACATCTCAAGCCCTTGATGAGTCTATCAAGCGTAGAAATAGAGCTGCAAACGCGTCTTTTGGGACGGACTCAAAACAACATCAAAACACATCCACAAGATGTTATCGAGATGACATAAATTCGCTTGTGAAAGGTAGGCAAAAATTTAGTTATGTAGAAGTTGAGAAAAATCCACATTTGGCCATTCATTTGGAAATCAAGTGCTTATTAGCACTATTCCTTTCTTCTCCTGGCTATCACTACTTCTCAGTCAAATAAGTAGGATGTTCCAGGTGTGTTTTAGCATAAAGAATGGTTAACAAACAAAGCCTAGAGTAAAAGGGCTTTCAGATTCTAGTCGAAAAGAAGAGCTATTGAGGAGCAAATATACTCCCGAGATTGAAGGAATAAATGAAAGAGACATAAAAATAACGCATGATCGCACTAAAATTATGTAAAAGGGGAACAAAGGAGTGGCACTGTTTGAGGAAACTAAACGACTTCAAAGGATTTGAGTTTAGTTTAACAATGAAGGACGAGATAGACAGGATTGGTTAGGGGGGGGGGGGGAGGAGGGGGGAGGCAAGGAAATTGCTAGATTGTCATTCCAAAGCATCGCAAGAAACTAGATTCTGCTGATGAAGGGGAAAGATGAGATTGGTGAATACTTTCAGGGTTTCCTAGATTAGAAATTTCTCCTCATCTTTTCAGCGCGATATTTGATCGACTAAACTTTAGAAGACTGTCAAAATTCATCATTGTTGTTGTTTGTCTAATTGGTTAAAACCCAAAAAGTGTCCTGAAAGGGACTTCAATAGACACTGTTAAACCACAGTAAACTGTAGCCTAGGTGTATGATATCAGGTTGCGAAGAAATTCTGCTAATTCTTCTCATAATTAACAAAAATGAATACGAACGCAAAATACACATGACAAAAATATCGTTGATTGACAGCCAATCATGATGAAGTCAAATTAAATAAATAGCTCAACTTCTATTGGCAGAATTTTCTACAATCTAATTCGAGATAACATACATGCAATACTTGTCTCCTTCAGGCACTCAACAGCATTATCACGTCACTTTCACACGCAGATTCAACAATTGCTTTGAAAAACCTCAAAATGGCCATGGATTGACCCCAACACTAGAATAGTTTCCTCCAGAAAGTAGAGGCGCGTGAAAGAGCAATTGAGAAGTTTTTCCACCACTGCAGCTTCCGAAAATAAGCCAGCTGAGAAAGAATTTGTGCTTGAAATGATGAATCGCTTCTACTCATAAGATGACAGGAGAGCGATGACTCGTTGTCCTCATTGTAACTTCAAAGTGCGTGTTAGTAAATATATGGGATTACGTTTCAACTGCTATTCCCAGAAGATGATTGTGCTGCTCCAACTAATCATTCGATGAAGGATTGTTTTATACTACATAGAAAAAGTGCTAAAATTTGAAAGTACAAAGCACTTTCCGGCACTATGTGTTGATTGCTAAGAAGGGAGGATATATAAATAGAACAATAACATTTCCACCGTTATAGAAGACAAATAGTGCCAGGAGTTTGAGAATGGTTACTGCATATATATCTAAGTCGTCGAAAGCAGCAGAAGATTCCAGTCTTGCTGAGGGTGTATGAAGGACCTGTACCTTTACAGTAAATTTTAAGTGGACGATTTACGATATTCAGCTTATTTGCAAGAATTTATAAAAGAAATTTTGGTCTTTTCCATAATAAGTGCCTTCCGCCGATATTATCACTCTCGTTTCTTAGCCTGATATACGCAAAAGCCTATGTTGTTTTATGAAAGGTTCTGATAAACCTAGTCTTGCTCATAGACGAAAATTGGTACATTTTTTCGAAAGTGTTACTATCTCGCGTAATGATTTCTGTTCAGAGTTTGCAAAATACTTTGGTCCATTAAAATAAATTAAAAATGTGGTGCTAATGGGGTTATTCTCAAAAAAAGAAGGGAGGAGAGAAGAAGCTGGAGGATTATACTAATCCGGAAAACTAATTATACTGTTTTCGTGAAATACAAGCTAATTTTGTCGCCTAAGCTTGGCAACATTCTTTACCGAAAATGGTAAGATGCACAGAACCACGTTTTCTAAAAGATAAAACACTTGGACATTACTGATGAGATTTTCTTTATCAAGAGAGTTAGCCGAAGGTAGCCAGAAAGAGGAAGTTAGAAATGTGAAATTTATCCATGCGTGAAGCAACAAGAGCAAAATCTTCGAGTTGGAGAAAAGAAGGCTTGTGACTAATTCAGTTGCCTAGAGAAGCCAGTGCCATGGTGGATGAGGGGAAAAAAAGATGGCGAGTACTCGTCCACTCGGAGCAATAAATTACTTGTGCATATTATTTGTTGGCAAAAGAAATTGGATAGGGAAAATAGAAAAATTTCCTGCAAGATGATTTCCAGGTTTCTCTGGTTACATTGTTCAAGTGTGATCCAAGGTAAATGGAATAAATTCAATTTGCATTTGTGGAAAAAGCGAATATAAGTAACAGAAGTGAGGATGTGTTGTGACTGCAATGTCGCTCTTGTCCTAAAGCATCAGCTTTAGGACAAGAGCGACAAATGAGTTTTGCTGGATACGGGGCGGGGATTAGGCACTTATTTATTGCCTATAGAAAGCCGCGCTGAACTCTCTTAGCCACCAAAATTTCCCTTTTCCTCTAAAAGAACATGTTAGAGAAGATAGATAGTAGAACAACACATAGATGCCACTTCTCGTTCTTTCTCCGAGTCAAAAATCATTCAAAACGCTCATTTTTTGTGCAAAAATTAATGTCGCCTATGTCACAAATAAAACCTTTGACTCAAAGCTTTTGAAACCGGCATCCCACAGGAGCACTTGAAATTGCTTTGCTATGTGAAAGAAAGAGGAAAAAATCACACTTTGGGAAATATTTTGTCAAAAATGAGTGACAGGTGATGGATTCACAACTTTGTCGCGACACTAGCTCAAATGGTCCCTTAGGACACAATCAACATGCTCGTCAGCAGAAATGCTCTATCTGATGTGCGGTTGTGTTTATGGACAAAGGTTGCGATGTTTAAATGTTTAGACAATCAAGTTCTCAACGATTTTTGGAACAGGATTTTTTAATGACAAAATTAGAAGAGTTTAGGAAGTCCTGTGTAAGCTCTGCTTTCAAAAATCATTATTTAGAAAGCAGTGGAAAAATTTCGAGCGAATTTCTCAAAATGAACACCCACCGCATTGGTGCAATCAGTACGGAACATTCCTCTCGATTTCTATCCGAGCTTAACGAACATCAAGTGAGGGTCTTCGAATTAGTACTGTTGTAGAACATCCGCACAGCTTTATTATGAAGCCAAAGTACTAACGCATGCAGAATGCTTGATTAGTTCCAGCTTGCTTAGCTCTAGCTTTGAGAATCAGGCAGAAGCTACGAAAAATACAAGGCCATGGAGGTGCCGTGGACGAAAATTACATCTATAGTGCAACTTTTATCAAATCTCTTACCGGATTGCGACTGGCACCAAATCTCACTTAGAAAGCAATACAATAGAAAAAAGTTAACCGTAATGCTTGAGCAGACAAACTTTTTAGCGTGCTGGAATTACAGCGAGGGAATCGATGGAGAGCACAAAAAATGAACTCGATAAGTGAAACGAATACTCAATTGAATCCATTTACATGCAATGGAGCTTACTGAGACTGCTTAAAAACTGCAAGCTTTGAGAGGCAGTGATGTTTCGAAGAGCCAAACCCGTAATTTTATCTTTTATAGCTATGAAATATACAAAACTGCAGGTTATTACACCAAGCTAATTGAGTTCATATTATTCAGAGGTCTAGCAAGTGCAATTACTTAAGAGGAAAGCCCTGAAGCAAAAATTATTTGGAGAGTATATATAAAACTTTATGATTTCCACTTACTAAGCTTACAAGTACTTTACTGTACATTCTTTGCTTCCATGTCTAACGTATTTGAATTGGTAAGGAAGTGACAAGGATATTTCTTCATGCGGCAAAAATTTGTGGATTTTGTTGAAACTGTCAATAGAAGGTGGAAAATATGGTTTTTCAAAAGCTATCAATCGCGACTGTCCATTTTTCGCGGAGTAAAAGTATTGACAAGATGTCGTCAAACTACGTGAATTTCCGAATGTAAAACGTTGAGAAATTGAAGAGGCGAAGCCTAATACCAGTGTATTTAACCTCATCTGAAAGAGGCAGATCCTAATACCCATCTTATTCTATTTATTTTTTTATTTGTTTATTTATTATTTATTTTGAAGCATACACAAGGTCCCCAGAAGGAATGAAAATCATACTTAGGGCCGCATGCACTAACCTCCCCGCGGGGAGGGGATCGCAGCTTAAAAGAAAGCTTTATATTTCGAAACTCCAGATATCTGGATTTCACGTTGTGTACCTATCCGTAAGTATTCCTACTACCCTTTACTATGAAAATGTTGAACAGGAGCGAGAAGCTGTACGAACCGCATTTTCCAGCTTTTGTATGATCCCTGATGATCCCCGGCGCTTTTCTTTGAAATCATTTTTCTTTCTCCGATGTTAACGAAAACCTTCCAAAGTCGTACTGAACATCTGACACAACAGTGCTAAGCATGTTGCTGATGAGAACAAATGAGTTTTTAAAAAGTCGAATTTTCCGGCAAACCTCAAATTTCAACCTGTGGATCATCGAAAATTTCATGACTTCAAAGCATCATTTGTTCTTATCAGCAACATGCTTAGCACTGTCGGTTTAGATAATCTGCACAACTTTGGAGGTTTTTCGTTAACATCGGAGAAAGAAAAATGATTTCAAAGAAAAGCGCCGGGGATCATCAGGGATCATACAAAAGCTGGAAAATGCGGTTCGTACAGCTTCTCGCTCCTGTTCAACATGTTCATAGTGAAGGGTAGTAGGAATACTTACGGATAGGTACACAACGTGAAATCCAGGTCTGGAGTTTTGAAATATAAAGCTTTCTTTTAAGCTGCGATCCCCTCCCCGCGGGGAGGTTAGTGCATGCGGCCCTTAAACAAACATGTCACCACTCAGTATAAATGTCAAAATAGCTCAGAAAACCCTAAATCCACGATAAACGCAGATATGCGATTGCTGGAAGTGCTGCAAAGTTACGGCAAGGCTAATCAAAAAGAACTAAATTCTTTGAATCGCTCCATCTAAAATTGTAGCAATAGAGGGAGGCTGAGGCTTATTCAAGTTGGGCACTCGCATAAATGGCTCAAGCTTTTGCTTGTCTTGAAAAGCAACAGAGCACAAAAACTATAATGGCCGTTTTTGTAATGGTCACGTTTGTCGTTAGCATTTTAGGCGAACTAGGCATGCCTGGTAAAGTTGATGTGAAAGTGACCGCTAACGCAAAGTTCTTGGCACTTAGTGACCAGACATAAATTATCATGCGTAGTCATGAAATCGCCTTTGATGTCGTCACACTCGGAAGTCTAGCGAACTGTGCGATGATTGATGAGCTCGTGTCGCGTCGCGACCATCGGCATCAGCTAACAGACGACAATCGCGCGACCCACAATGCAACGATCTCGCGACGCGCGATCGTCGCTTCCGTTTTTCATTGTCACCACCGACCGCTCAACTAACACACACCTCACGCGGATGATTGATAACGCTCACGTGGAAGGTGTGGCTTGAACTACCGTAACACCGTTGGAACAGTCGATTACTGCTTGGCACATACAATTTGCTTATTGTTATTACATACCATGCATTGCTTTTGACCTCTCCACTGAACAAGCTTACTTCAAAAGCGAAAAAACTGATTATTCCGCTGTATTATCAACCTTGAATTATTTGATTGCTGAAACCAGTTTCTATCACTGTTACTTGAATCTCTGTAGCGCTCTGTCCCTAGTTAATGATTCTGCAATCAATCTATTATCATTTCACAGCAGCTTGCCGTTGTCTACTATCATGATATACAGGGTGTCTCAAAAAATGTGCCTACTTGATTGTCAAAACTCTCTTGTCATTGAGTCTTTCGAGAAGCTTTAGATACCACTTTGTAGCGCTGGCTTTAACTTAGATTCGCGGTACGGAGCGAAATACCGTTTTTTATTCATTTTTGTAGGATTACGGTAGGAACTTTGAAGAGGATTTTGCGTCATCAAAGGGTCTTATTTTACTTCTAAAAGGAGTAAATGAGTTGAAAACTCCTACGCTAGGTTGATCGGGGTCGCTGATTCCAAATATGCAACTTGCACTTCACAGCAATGCTTTTTTTCGTGATTTATGCCAGATATAACGCAACGACGGACTTCTGTTATTCGTCGAAAATGTTATTTGCGAACACGCAAGTTGCATAGTGGGATCATCATGCATGAAAACCTAATTATACAAGTTTTCAGACTTTTTTGAAAATTTCTTTTCGAACGGCCTATCTCACATTGGCGACATATGCTGCGAGTCTACCATAATATTGCGATAGCGAAGGGAGATCGGTATCTCGCTCCATACTGTAAATTCAAGTTGAAGGCATTTCTACAAAATGATACTTTATCCTTCCTGAAAGATTCCAAGACAAGAGAATTATTAAAAATTAGTAGTAAGCACATTTTTTGGGACACCTTGTATAACACATTGCCAGAAATTCCCAAACTTTCATGCTTAAAAGCATACTATTGACGTCAGAAGTTACAATCATATTTACGCTTAGTACCAACAACACCTTTCCTTTGCCATTCTTCTCTATATATATGTAGAACTTTTATTAGTCCTCCTTCACACTACGCCCTGCCCATGATTTTGTAAAGGCACAGTATCTGTTATAAATCTTAGTTTGCAAACACACATTTACAGTGACCGGCAGAACATTATTCATGATACAAAAGTTCTCGAACTTGCAGTTCTTCGACCTTTGCCTATAATCCAAATTTCTGTGAGCAGAGTTTCTCATCCACCTTTTTCTTTCAATCGGCTATTCTATCTGCTCATGTGGATAAAAGGTTGTTTTGGTATCATTCAAATGCCTCGATGAAGCGCTTCTTTCTCATCTGCGATAGCACATCAAGCAAAAAAAAGAAAGACTCGTACGCTTTGCATAACTTCAAAGATCCTAGACAAGCAAATTTGTCAAAACCACGTCAGCAAATAGAGTATCAAGTAACTCACCCCACCCCCCCCCCCCTTATGACTCGCGAATTTATCTTAACATGCGAAAAGAAAATTCTTTGTGATTTGTTCTAATGGCGCCGGACTGAAAAAGAGACTGATTGAGTATCTGTATGTCTCGGACTGACTCTTTTGGTTTCCCAGTTTCTTAATGTCAGGAACCTTTGAAGAAACTGTGAGGCCGTTTTGCTTGCGGACAACAAAAGTAGGCCAGAGCCGAATAGAGATTTTGAGACTTGAATGGGTTGGAAGGTAAGAAGTAAAAAGAGCTAGTGCACGTACACATTTTGCGCATTTCCGCGTAATGTCATTTCCTAAGAAGGTAACGGTGTCTTATTGAATACATCAACAAGCACCATACAACTCAGTGGGTAAACAAGCGAAGGAAAAGAAGTTAGAGATTTTTGCGTTTTGTCGGACAATGAGCATCTGCATATATAAATTTCTTAGAAATTTAGGTAAGGTTAGAAGTACGTGTCTTCATATGTCTAACTCGATTCGCTTAAAAAGCGTGGCACTGAAATGATCGGTGCAACAGCATAGCATTTTCAGTTATACTCACCAGAACCAACTCTTCATATTATTCGTCAAACCATGTAATCAATGTGATGATTTGTGCAAAGGTGTGTAATAGTTTCGGCAATTTCTTGATACATTTTCGCGACTTGTCATAAGAGATTAAAATGGCTTACATCATATAGGGTTCCAACAAACTGGCCATTCCTGTTGGATAGTTTTTATGTTGGGCTAGATTGGATCACAGTACTTTTTGGATAAATATCTTTCATATGATCTTCTTCTGTTCATCCTTCATTCTTTCGCTTTTCCATTTCGCTCTCGTCCATGAGTTGAAAAAAATGCTTTGAGAAATTTTTTACACCCTCATCAGAACTGTAGCTACAAGAAACACGCTGCTTGGACTTTCCTTCTACAGAGTCATTCCTTGAACTATGATTGAATTCAATTTTTTTCATGCTCGCATGTGTCCCGCTTATGCAGGATCCGCTTTTCTTGTCGATGTCTCCATGTTTTTCTATCTGAGGTAAAGTCTTCGCTTTATACCAAGTTCTCGCAGGTCGACCTTAACTCTGTCCATCCATCTCATCTTGGGCCTAC